CTGCCTCACACGGTCCTGGCCGCTCTCGGGGGCTGTGGGCCTGAGGGGGGCGGCGACTGCGAGGATCGCCTACCGGACGCCACAACCAGTGGGGAGAGCGTACTCCCCCTCTTCCACCCCTTTTGGTCTGGTAAGCTTTTGGGTAGCACCGAGAGCCTTATTGCGCCAGGCTTTCCCTAACTGGGATGATTATCAGAATCGTGACTTGAGGGTGGGTCTCGGGTCTTGTCCCTAAACTTTGCCTTCTCCCTAGGGCTACCTGGTCAAAGCCCGCGCTTAATAGTTGAGGGACGACAGTGCCTTCCCGAGGTCATCTGGTTATTTCGTGCTAGAACAGGATGGTAAACCGGCCTTCTGATAGAGACCTGGTCTGCCGGTAGGCAGACGGCCCTTAGGCCACTGACGTCTCTGGCTTTGCAGTTTCTTGGGCGCCTTCTCATCGGGAGCCCTCTTGGGTCAGGGACCCTCAGCTGAAAGCCGAGTGCCTATCATACTGACCAGACTTAAGACGAGAAAAATTTGTGTGTGCCCTTGCTGAAAGGCCTGTGTCCTCTGAATACTTCTCTGCAGCTAAATTGAGTTCCATCCAGTGGTTTCCCTTGGTAATTGTTGGTTCTGGCATGTCCACAGGGCCAGGGACTATAGGAAATGACTGCTTTTATCTCTTCAGATACAAGACTAGAGACATTTCCTCAAGGGAACCTAATATTAGCTTCTTTCAAACCCTGCCAGCATGGAAAGTCAGTGGTCAGCAGGACCAGCACAGGTCTTCTGGGCCAGTTTTTCTCCCATTGCTGGGCTAGGGCAAATTGAGATTCTGAATTTGTCAGTTCCAAGATGTGGTTTGTGGATATGAAGAAGTTGCTGACAACCTCTGTTTAAAAGAGGGAGTACTATTTGGAGACCGGTTGAGCTTGCTGAGAGCAGGTGAGTCAGCAGGGGTCATGGAGTCTCCTCCTGGCTAAGTGGGGCAATATTCCTCATGCAGGTGCTGGCATCAGCAAACACAGGACTTGCCCTCTGGCTTTGCTACCTACTCCTGTGCTACTACTGCCCAGGCTCCTACTCTAACCTTCTCCAATGAAGTAGCTGTGATGTTCCCCTAAAACCTTCCAGTCTCTCTCTCCCCTGTGTCACTGAGCGCAATCCTCTGTCGCTTGCTTGCAGTCTCTCACCATTCCCCACTCCACCTGTCTCCGTACCTCCTGCTACCTAGCTGTTTACAGACTGCACCAAAATCTTGGTCCTTTCTCCCCGCTCTTAGCTTTGTGCCTGTTGCTTCCCTTTTCTGAGCACCCTTTTCCTCCCTGGGCTACCTGGGAAATCCGTCTGAAATGCTGCAGCATCCCCTCTATTGCCAGGCCTTCCTTAACTCAGTGTTTCTTCCTGTTTGGGTGCCTGCTCAGGGTCCTAGGTCCCCTTCCTGTTAGTCCCATTGCTCTGGGGTTCCAAGAATATTGAGCTCTATAGTACCCCAGGGCCGGTCACTGGGAGGCCCGGCTTGAGCTTCTGAAAGGAGTCTGCCCAAAGAGAGGGACAGCAGACATGGTCCGGCTCTGCAGCTTGCTGACTCGAGGCAGTCTGAGACTGAGCTGTTGACTGAGGAGGAGTGTAAAATCCAATGTATTGTAGTTCACAGGGTGAATTTCTTTGCTCCCAAATAGACACAGTTGATGTCCTGGATTAGGGCTGCTGGTCTACATTTTACTGGCCCACCTGGGTGTCTCAGGTCTCCCTCACTTGACCAACAGACATCAGGGTGAGGACACTCGCCTAGGATAAGAGTGGCTTGTGGAAGGACCTCGAAAGTCAGTGGCAGAAGATGAAGTGGTAAAAAGGAAGCAGCAGCCTCCCCAGCTGTCATCCCTGTTATACTTTATGGTGTAACCTGGTGACTTCAGGTGGCTCCTGAGTCTCCCACTGCCCACTCCCTCTTCTCTGAAGGGTTACTGTTCTCCATTTACATGGAAGTGACTTCTAGGAATCACCTGCAGGCCGAGTCTGTTTGGCCTCCTCGTACCTCTGGCCAGCTCTTGGCACACCATGTGCTGCATTTCTGTGTCTCTGGTCAAACCAAGCTTCCCAGCCCGGGTTCCATCTTAGTAGCTGCCCAGCATCTGGTACAGTTGGGACCCCCAGAGAATCTCTTTGCAACATTGGGGAGATGCAGGGGTTCCAGAACAGCATTTGCTGATACAGAGTTGCCGCTGGGTCTGCAGGCGATGGAGGGGTATATTTTGGGAAGAGCAGTGAGTCCAGATGGAGGCAGCTCTGGCCTAAGGATAGCTGGCTGCCCAGTGTCCGAAAGAGAATCGCCTTGCTGGAGGAAAGGAGCAGAGACTAGTTATTGAGCCTTACTATGTGTGAGGTATGTGTTTGTCAGACATGGGAGCACAGTGATTTATAGAGACCTAGGTTAAACCTTGCACTGCAGATTTCAGCTTTAGGGATTTTCGGTGATGATGTTCAGCTGGAATCTGTTTCTGAAACCTTTGCTTCCCTGTATTCATACTCCCAGCAGTCTTGTAAGCTACCACTTTTAGAGGTGAGCTTGACTTCAGAGCATGGACTCTGGATTCCTATCAGCCTTTAACCAAGTCACTCAGCTTGCGGACCTCATTTCTTCTCTGTAAAATAAGTGTGATGGGCTCAGAGGTTAAGAGCACTGGCTGCTCTTCCAGAGGCCCTGAATTCAATTCCCAGCAACCACATGGTGGCTCACAATCAGCTATAATGAGATCTGGTGCCCTCTTCTGTCATGCAGGCATATGTGAAAGCAAAACACTGTATACATAATAAATAAATCTAAAAAACAAAACAAAAAAACCACACCAGGAGTAATTTCAAAATAAATAAGGGCAGTGATACTTTGTGGTGTCAGTGGGGAGGTAGAATGATTCCGTGTAACGCTTGCAGAAGGCATGTATGGTATGTGTGGTGTTCTGATGCAGTTTTTAGTAAAGGTATCTGAGTTTCAGTCAGGTGCTTTGAGCTGCATATACCACCGGATGAGCAGCAGTGTGGCCTGGCATCCTCCTCCAAGCCCTCTTCCTATGTGATCTCTCTCCAGCACTCTGTCCCGTTGGAAGATAGCCTCCCGGGCTTCCCTTGTCCCTAGCTGTGAGCTGCCTGGCATGGTGCTGGGAGAAGTCCCTGAGTCTACTCAGTGTCCATCCCTCACCAGCCTGAATACCAAGGATGTGGTTCGGAAAAGACACAAGAGGAGAAGCCGGCAGCACCAGCGGTTCATGGCCCGCAAAGCCTTGCTGCAGGGGAATATGGCACCAGGGCCAGAATCCTGCCCTCTGTCCTCCCCATCACAGACACCAGCAGACACACAGGCTTCAGGCAGCAGAAGACAGCGTTCCAAAGCCACGCCTGGCGGTGGTGGCCCATGCAGCAAAAGGCCTGTCACCAGAGAAGCCCAAAGGCCTGGGCCCAGCAAATGTGTAGCCATTGACTGTGAGATGGTGGGTACAGGTCCTCGTGGGCGGGTGAGCGAGCTGGCCCGCTGCTCTGTAGTAAGTTACAATGGCGATGTTCTCTACGACAAGTACATCCGGCCTGAGATGCCCATTGTGGACTACCGCACCCGCTGGAGTGGCATTACCCGCCAACACATGCTCAAGGCCATCCCCTTCCAGGTGGCCCAGAAAGAGGTGAGGACTCTGGGGTCTTGAATGGCCTGAATGACAGGTTGGGGAGAGAAGCCCTGGTTTAAATCACCTGGGGAGTGTGTGGCCTTGAGAAGTTACTTCACGTCACCAAATTTGTAGTTCCTTTCCCAGAGTATGGGTTAATATAAATCCAGTTGCTGCCTTTAAAGGGCTGCCAGGCTGTTAGGCAGGGGGCTGCTGGTAGGAAGGTGATGTGAAAGGTAAAGGTACAACAACTTACAAAATGTTTGGAGTCTATAAAATTTGCCTACAGTCCTGTCACATTCAAGGGTTGTTGTTTTAGCCCATCTCTTTATGGTTTTTCAGTGCTTGGAAAAATGATCAGTACTTGGGATCCCACTAATATACTAGGGATGTTTTATCACATCAATAGAAACCCTAAGTAAGACACATTCCATGATGCCCTAAGCATTGCTTTGGAAAGACTTGATCATGAATAGAAGCGGTAGGAAGGTAATCTGTGTGAGCCCTCCCAACTCTGATCCCTCCCATCCGTGTTTGTGGTTGGCAGTGATCCCTGGAGCAGGCTCACTTGGGCTTAAGTCTAGGTTTGATTTCTCCCCACTTGATGGCAGGTGGAGTATGAGACTGGGGGTGACCCCAATCAAAAGTCTAAATGCATCTTACTCATCTGCCACAAAAACTTGGTCCCATGCTAGTAGGGACAGGCTGTAGAAGGCCAACAGCTAATGACCAGGAGTTGGCAGTCCTTTAGCCCTGTTTCTCTGAGCATGGGGAAGGTGCTGGGCAGGGAGGAACAGGATATGTCCAAATAGAGTTGCCTAGCATGTTTAGAGGGTAGGAAGGAAGAGTCAGTGGACTCAGGAGCAAGGAACTGTGTCACTGAGTCTAACAAGGGCTTCTACTTAACTGTGTTTCTAACAGCACCATACATGGTTCTGTTGATTTCATTCAACAGGTCTTTATTGATCAGAAGATCGGTTGGCTGGGAGGCTGAGGTAGGAGGATTGATGTTAGTTCTAGCCTGCACTGCATAGTGAGCCTGTAAAGGACCGGCCCATCAAACACAAGCAAATCAGTAAATGCTGTGCTCTGGGTGAGCATCACTGGTCAAGTCAAAGGAGCTTACTGTGTGGGAGGGGAGACTAGATCATCCCAAGAGCTAAATGTGTGTAAGACGTATAAAAGCTAAATCCATACCTAGAAAGTGTAGATAGCTTCAAAGAAGGACCAAGGCCTCCTAGGTAGATGAGGATAATGGGAGGTCTTCCAAGGAAGGTTGAGGAGCTGAGATCTGAGTGGGTGAGAAGGTCTTGCAGCCAAGAATTGCCTTTGCTAGTGCAAAGCTGCTTGAATCTCCCAATTTGAAGGCATGGCTTACATCCATAGCTTCCTTTACCCTCACAACTGTTTCCTGGAATGCTGAGACAGTATCCCTTTGGCAGGTGCTAAGATGGGTTTGTATTCAAACTTGGGGCATCATGGTCAACTGGGACTCATAGACTCTCCCCTTCCCCACTGCTGCCTCCCTGTAGAGTGCTTCACGCACCAGTGCTAAGGATGCTCAGGTTTGTCTTCCTTCGTGACAGTGGGGCCTTCCTGCTTCCTCTCTCCTCACAGATCCTAAAGCTCTTGAAGGGCAAGGTGGTGGTGGGGCATGCACTGCACAATGACTTCCAGGCCCTCAAGTATGTTCATCCCCGGAGCCAGACCCGGGATACCACTTACGTCCCAAACCTGCTCAGCCAGCCCAGCTTCCACACCCGAGCTCGGGTCTCTCTGAAGGACCTGGCCCTGCACCTGCTGCACAAGAAAATTCAGGTATGCGGTGCAGAATCTCTTGGTGCCAGGGCTCATCTGACTGTCAATGCTGCTGAACTCTGGATAGGACTGTGGACTGTTGCTTGCATACAGGCAGCACTGGTGTAGCCACCTCCTTTCCTGTGTGAATTCCCTAGTGATAGTCAAATTCTTCTAGACTCATCTCTGTAGGTCTTTGCCCACCCAACTCCTGGCTATATCCTGAATCTCCGTAGAATGTGTTCTGACTCACACTCAGATCAAGAGGCCTGTGACTCTTAACTTCTAGAGCAGGAAATTTTGTTTTAAATGTGTGTGGGTGTTTGGCCTGCATGTATGTCTATGCACAACATGTATGGCATATCTTTGGGGGCAGAAGAGGGCATCAGGTCCTCTGGGACTGGAGTTACAGACAGTTGTGAGATGCCATGTAGTGATAAGCATTGAGTCTGGGTCCTGCAGAAGAACAGCCAGTGCTCTTAACCATTGTGCATTCACTCCAGCCTCAACATAAAGAGAAGATTATTTTGGTTCATGGTTTAGTAGAGTCCATGTGCTAAGGCAGAACATCGTGGTGGGAGCATGTGAGGCTATATACCCCACAGTGAATAGTAAACAGAAAGTAGTAGAGACGGTATACTCCCAAGGTCGTTTTCTGGTAATCTGATTCCTTAAGCCGAGTCCCACCTCATAGTTTCTAGTACCTCTCAAAATAGCACTGTCAGCTGGGGAACAAGCCCACAACAGAGGAGCCTTTGGGATATATTTTGTTTCTAAATCATAACAGCCTCTATTCTGGGATATGTGCTCTTGACCCTTGGAGGCTATCTTTGCTTCTGGGTTGATGGTCAGGCCCATTTTACCATTTGGGTTTTTTTTTTTTTTTTTTTGCTCCTGTCCTTAGGTGGGTCATCAGGGACACTCATCTGTGGAAGATGCCATGACAGCCATGGAGCTCTACCAGCTGGTGGAAGTGCAGTGGGAACAACAAGAGGCCAACAATGCCAAGGCCCTTCCTGAGGACAGGGGCTCCGACAGCAGCACCGACATGGAGCAGTACATGGAGGACCAGTACTGGCCTGATGAGCTGGCCCAGAGCACCAGTGGAGAAATAAGGGAGGCCCAGGAAGGAAGGGAGTGAGAGGAAGGTGCAGCAAGTGGGAGAGCCAGGAGAGGTCCTCCCTGGACAGACAGGGAAGGCAGTGTCTGGTAGACAGGGTCAGAGGACTCACCCGAGCCCATGCTGCTTCACAGCACTACCGTCTATGTCTAAGGGATGCTTTTCCCCCAATTCCTGTGGGTTCGCTAATGACACTAGGCAGACTTTGTCTAGTGCCCAGCAGGTATAGGGAAAGTGCCACAGGACTGTCCAAGGTTGTCACTGGCTCCCTGAGCCAAGTCTTCTGGGGTCACTGCTTGCTACTCTGGTGCAGTCAGCGTCCTGGAGCTCCTACTTCCATTCTGGCAGGGTGTTCAGTTGCTGTTGCCACCTCTCTTCTTCCACAGATATGTTCAGGATAATAGTAATTTAAAGAGTTAATTAAGAAAGGCCCTTAAAGAAGACATGTGTTCCCTGTCTCTTACTTTCTTAGATGTCCTATCCTAAGAGTAACTTTAGGGGACTGTGTTACTAAGCAAGGGCTCTGACAAAGCCTCATTATTACTGTCACATAGTGCTGAGACATTGGGAAAGCCTGTGACTTCCTGTTGAGCCAGTTTTCCCCTCTCTAAATTGGGATTGTGATACCTCTTGGGTGTCTAGGTGCTTTGTGTGCATCCTCGTGATGTGAGTGAAAGTGCTCTGTTCAGGCCAGTGCCTGATTTCTGAGCAGCTACGGCCCAGGCAGGACTCTTGTTTGGCTCTGCCAGCAGATGAGGTGGGGGCCAGGGCAAGAACATTGTAGGGGAGTTCAGAGTTCTCTGCGGGTCTTGCTACCAGCTTTTGGCTTCACATCAGCATCTGGCCACTATATTTGGGAAAGTGACAGCAGGAACCCAGATAGGGTCAGAAAGGAAGGAACACTACTACTGAGACCACACTTCCAGCTGTCAGCCCTGATTGCACAAAACCTTAGTCATGGATTGTTTGCTTGCTGCTCCTCCCTGCCAGGGAAAGAGGGGGCTGGCTGAATCATCACTTCTGGCCTGGCGCCAGGGATAAGCTCTTGTTTCCTTAAAAAGCAGCAACCTGTGCCAACGTCACTGCCGGGTAGCTTGATGGCTTCATTTGTGCATTGAAGGGTGGTGGAACTGATAGCCTGTGGAAGTGTACTGTGAGAAATAGCTATCTTGTGGTACTAGACCATTAATGCAGGAATAATAAATTATAAAGCTCAATTGGAAGAGTGAGTGTATTGGTCCTTTCTAAATAGTCAATGCTGGGCTGAAGGGTGGCTGGTTGAGGGTTGGGAAGGGCTAGAGCACTGAGCTTTGCTGGGTGCTGGTCTTGAGGTGTCATCTTTGGGGATCTAAAGAAGTTTGTGACTTCCTTTTGAAGTTGCCCTATTACACAACACACAATTTAATTTGGTTTCTTCCCAAAGCTATATGCTCACATTAAAAATTGAGGGATTTTTGTTTGTTTCTGAAAAAGGATCTCATGATAGAGCCCAAGCTGCCTGTAACTCATTGTGGTGCTCAGGCAATCCTGCCTCAGGCCACTGAGTGCTGACATTGTAAGCACATGTTGCCATTCCTGATAGACTTTGCCCTTTAGGAAGAAGATTCCTTTGTGTATATATAATGTTAGCCCACCTGTCCTTGCACAACATGCTCAATCACTTACCCTCTTGGCTATTGTGAATTAAGTAGCTATAAGCATGGCTACTATACACATATATTTGGATGGATTCCCTCGGAGGGGGAATTTCTGGGTCATGTGACAATTCTGTATTTGGGCAACTCTTCCACAGCAACTGCATCCTCTTACATTCCCAACAACCATTCTCAAGAATTTCAGTTGTTTTATGTTGAGGAAGGGTTTCCCTGTGTGACCTAGCTTGACTTGGAACTTGTGGAGATCCTCTTGCCTCAGCCTTGATTCAGGACAGTTGAGCTTATAGGGCCGGTTGCCTCTAGGGAGAGCTGCCCTGATGCTGTTAATTGTCTTAGTCTATTTTGTATTACATAACAAAACACCTGAGGCTGGAATTTGATTAAGACTTATTGTAAAGGCTTGGTCTACAGGGCTCTACTGAAGGCCCTGTGGTGGATGATGTGATAGTGGAAGCACATCTGGAAAGGACCACAAGGCAAGACACACTTGCACAATGTCAAATACAATTCACAAAGGCTTGGAGCTTCCAAGAGACTGTATTAATCCATTCGTGAATGTGGTATGTGTATCACTCACGGTCACATTTCTCCCATCTCTTCATGACTCAACCAGACTAGGAACTGAGTCCCTAGACCAGAAATCTTTGGGAAATACTAAGTTAAACTATGTTGCAGCCCATGTGGGGGCTTTTGTCAGGTCCAGCCGACTTGTCCAGTCCGTACCTGAGAGTGAGTATGGATAAAGAAATGGCAAGTAGAAAAAGATAACTGAAGAAAAGACAGAGACACAGGATAGAGTCGGGAGGGCACCTGGTGACTACCAGGAACTACCCCAAGTTTATTCAAAGCTCTTTTATACCCCAATCAAAAGAGGGGGAGGCAAAAGACTTCCTTACCAAGACAAAAAGAACAAGCAAGCATTTTCAATACTCAAAACATCAAGTAACCACACCCTAAACCAAAATCTTGTTAAGGCAAGACACCCATTAGTTATTCCTTAGGCCAAACATTCTGTTGTTTAACCTTGAAAGAACAATAGTGGGTTTGAACTCTGACCTTAAGTCAAGATGAAGCTGAGTCAGTTTCATCATGAGTTGTCTATTCAGTGCATGACCGGGGCTCAGTGGGGATTAAAAAGAATCATCTAGTAGCAGCGACATGCCGTGATGGGTGAGCAACTGATGGGATGTGTCCTTGGAAGGCTGACAAGTTTGCCCTGAGTGACTCTCCTGTCACCTGATCAACACAGCTTGTGGGCTTGGCTTGCTGTTTGATGCTGTCAGGTGAAACTGGAACATCAGGAAACCCCCTAGCTGAGGTCAGGGCTTCCTTCTTCAGGCCAGTTAATCACCAGTCCAACGGAACACACTGTACACCTGGACAAAGTTCAGCATAACCCGCTAGGGTTCTGGGAGGAAGTTCCAGCTCTGTGGGGGAACCACAAGAGAGCAAATAGAATGCACAGCATTTATGACCATGCTCGTTCTATAGAAAGGGGTAAGGCTGGGTGGGGTAAGGTAACACCTTATCGAATGAATGAATGAATGAATGAATGAATGAATGTAGAAGAGGCCAGGAGGTGCACTTACACAGGCTCGAAGGGGGAGCTGTTAGGCAGATTATGATGTGGGAAAGGAGCTTTCTAGAATGTTGAGCAGGTATTGTAGATCCCTGTCCTTTAAGCAAAATAGATGAGCTGTGCCTGCTTACAATTACACTTGTTGACTATCGGTAGTCCCTCATAGGGAAAGGCTGAGGAGGGCCTCTGGGCCTCACCTGAGATTTCAGCCATTCCCCCAACCATCAGTATGCACTTCTGCCTTAATTGCATGGGGCCTGGGGTCTCAGGCAGTGGTAAAGTATATGAGCTGGGAAGGATTGGAACTCCAGCAATGCAACTATGGGGAAGCCATCATCGGCAGTGGTAAAGTATATGAGCTGGGAAGGATTGGAACTCCAGCAATGCAGCTATGGGGAAGCCATCATCCACACAGGGTGAAAACTTACCAGTGTGTTTGTTTTGACGTCTTTCCAGGCTCCTGTGAGTAGCCTCTCACCCATGCTCCATAAGTAAGCCCAAAAAATTCATTGGTTCCCCCAAGTTGGACTTTGGTGGAATTGTTCTTTGGCTTGCTGGGGCCTTTTAAAGAGGAAGTAGCAGCACTGTTTTATTTCTCCCAGAAAAGCAGTTCTTGAAACAGGGCAGCAAATACCAAACCCTGAGACGTGAGCGTGCAGGAAGGTACCTTCATAGTCCTGCCTCAAGACTCCCACCTAGAGTCCTCTAGTCCAGGGTTTCTCAACTTGTGGGTTGTGACCCCTTGGGGGGGTCAAATGACCCTTTCACAGGGGTCACAGATATCTGGCATATCAAATATTGACATTATGATTCATAACAGCAGAATTACAGTTATGAAGTAGCGACAAAAATAATTTTTTGGTTGGGGGTCACCACAACATGAGGAACTGTATTAAAGGGTCACAGCATTAGGAAGGCTGAGAACCACTAGAGTCTAGTCACTGTCCTGGCACTGTGGAGATGGTTGACATCTCTGAAGGAGGCATGTGAGTCCTGTGGATCTGGGAAGAGTCACCACCACCACGCAAAGCCCCAGAGCTCGGGTTTAAACTAGCAGAGGCCATAGTTGAGAGGGTACAAAAGGGACTGAAGGGGCAATGGGACAGATGAAAGAACATCACATGGGAGATTTGTTTTTATTAAGACAGGGTCTCAAAGTAGTCCAGATTGGTCTTGAACTTGCTCTGTAACTAAGGATGACTTTGAATTCTTGACCTTCCTACCCCAATCTGCCAAGTGTTGGGATTACATTCTATACCACCACACCTGGCTAAGGCTGAACATCAAACCCAGGGCTTCTTGCTTGCTAAGTAAACATTCTACCATGCTGAACTACACTCCCAAACCCAACATTTGATTTTTGAAGCCTGTTGAAGTCAGACATCTGGTTTGGCAAAGAAACCACAAATCTGGGCAATTCCTTTCCAAACCACAAATCTTTATGACGTCACAGCAGGCTGAGGACTGTTATTCTATTTAGACCTGGGCAGGGAAGCAGGCCCAGCTCTCCCCTTGTTGGATCTCACTCTCTCTCACACAGTGTAAGAGTGCTCTCTTCAGTCTGGGTCTGATCCAGGTGTACCTCGTTTGTTTATTGAAAAAATACTGAACATTCCCTGCATGATAGGTGTAAGCAAAGAACACAGCAAAAAACCACTGAGGCAATGGCTCCATGATTAAGGGGAGGATTTTTATTGTAGCTATGAGAGAACAGCCAGAGGCATCCAGAAGCATCCAGAGCAGAGAAGACAAGAAGCAAACTGGCCATGGCAGAGAAAAATAGGAGGCGAGAATAGTGAGAGCATTGGGTTGAGGATTATTGCTGGTTTTAAAGAGAGGGAGGGGGGTGAGCTGGGACAGCCTGGAAGCTAGCATAGTGGAGGATTCGGGAGGTGAGAAGGACCAGAAGGCTAGCATGGACTTTAAAATGCTGAAATGTATAACGGGTACATGTGAATAGGTACCAAAGGACCGTGGATATATAACCACGGTCACGGGCTGTGGTAGGTAAGCACAGGTGTATTCTGGCAGGCAGAAACCTGACAGGTTTCTGTGTGATGCTGTGTGTGAATGCTGATCATACACCAGTAATCCTATAGTCCAGTTTGAGCTGAGCTTAGGTTGTCATTGTGGACAAAGTCAGTGGACCTGCCCTTTTTGGGGGGTTCTTGGGATTTCTCCCTTAGGACCTAATAATAGGTACCACTCTAAGAATTCTAAGTTCCAGCCCAGGAGACTTTAGCCCCTTAGGAAGGACAGCCTGGCTTGAGGCTCTCTCAAGGTCTGCTGCTGTTTGTCAAACTATCCCAGGTAGATATTCGGAGGAACTACTGAACTGGTAGAAGGCACCAACAGTACCCCCACCCCCAGCTTCCTTTGCCTTCACTGGGGCAGAAGCCAGGAACCTACCCCCTCCTGCCCTTCCTAGTTAATAGCCCCAGTGTCTCAAGAGCGGCTTGCTCTGGCCTCAGAAGACCTCACAGAATATCACTCTGACAGCAGATCCCAGAAGTTGTGGGACATTCCCCAGGCTCCAATCCCAGAGATGTTTATTCTCTGGGTGGAGGGTGAAAAAGCAAAAGAAAGATGTTGCAATCCACTCCTTCCACGTCAGACACATCATCTGAAAAGGAGAAGGGCAGGGCCACAGGAGGGACACCCCGAGGCAGCCAGCCCTGACTCAGCCTGCCAGCCCCCCCACCTGCCAGCCGGGAGGCAATAATGCAGCCCAGCATACATGGCCTGCCCCCCCCCCCACTCCTAACTTCCTTTGATAACAAATCAGAAACTGAAACTAAAACAGGCTTAAGTTAGAGATGAGTCACTTCCCAAAGTGACTGCAGTAGCTGAGAAGTGACAACAGAGAGGCAGAAGAGAACCCAGGGCATTGAAGCAGACAGGTGAGCAGGAACCACACAGCAATGCAGCCTGGGAGGCAGAGGGAGGGGGCTTCTTGTTGGTGGGACAGCCAGACAGGACCAGCAGGCTCTGGGACCTAAGTACAGAGAACCAGAAGGGTGGCAAGAGGCCAGCTTCCCTGTTGCCAGGTGGCATTGGAGACAAAGGGCAGGACTGAGGGTGTAGTCTGGCAGGGTGGTGGCCCAGATGCCTGGAGGCTTGTTGGTTCTTGAATGACACCCTGGTCCCCCCCTCCCCTTCCCTCATCCTCCAGGACTTTCTGAGGGTCACAAAGAAACATGGCAGGCAGCCCAGAGGTGGTGGCCATGGACTGTGAGATGGTGGGGCTAGGGCCTCTAAGGGTAAGTGGCCTTGCCCGCTGCAGCATCGTGAACCTCAATGGCACAGTCCTGTATGACAAGTACATCCGACCTGAGGGAGAGATCACGGATTATAGAACCCGAGTCAGTGGGATCACGCCTCAGCACATGGTGAGGGCTACACCATTTGTCGAAGCCAGACTAGAGGTAAGTGGAGGACAAGGAGTCAAGCCAACAGGGGTTGCAGCAATCCTGCCCTTCCTCCTCAGCTTCTTCCCTAGAGTCTGTGGTCTGTGACTCTACTATGAGAAATTCCTCACATTGCTGAGAGAACTCTGGGCCTTGCTGTCACAGCCCCCAATGAGATAGTTTCTGGCCAACAGAGAACCTTAGGCTTCCATCTGGGACTGCTTCTGGAGCATCTATCTGGTCCAACTTTCAGGTCTGGTGATGGGGAAATTGAATTTCATTTGACGGTCCCTCTCTTTTATACCACACTGCTCTGGTGAGTCTGGGAAATGAGGCTCTGAGGCTGAGCTGGTTCTGCTGAGAGGCCGGAAGACTCCTGGACTGAAGGAGATCTTGTTCCCTACCAAGAGCTCTGGGCCACAGCAGGCTCCCTGCTTCGTTTGAAGCCCAAGGTTGAGCCCTTTAGCATGTGGCCATGTCTTCTAGATATAAGTTTCCATTTCTTTGTATGACTGAAGAGAAAGCAAAACTCAAGTAGGAATTTCCCCATGATCATCACCTCTGGACAGGTTCAGCAGCAGGAGCTTGGGAAAGTTCAAGATCACAAGAATTGTAGTGGGTCTCCACAGACATGCCCAGCTCTGGAGGCTGGACATCAAAATCCCAACAGTGTACTATTTAATAGGTAGTGGGGTATTCTCTCTCTGTCTCTGTTTCTCTCTCTCTCTGTCTCTGTTTCTCTCTCCCCTTCTTCTCACTCCCCCTCCTCCCTCCTTCTCACTCCTCCTTCCCCTCCTGTCCCCCCTCCTCCCCCCTGCTCTCCCATCCTCCTGCTCCTCCTCCCTCCTGTTCTCTCCCTCCTCCCCCACCTGCTCTCTTCCTCCTCTTCCTCTCTTCCCTCTTTCTCCCTCCTTCCTTCCTTACCCCCACCCCCACCCCCATTCACCTTTCCTGGGTTCATTTCCATCTCAACCCAGCCAAGTGGTGCTCAGGAATTAACTGTCTCTCTAGGAAGCTGACACTCTTGAGTCCCAGCTCCCTGCTGCTCACGAACAGGTTCCAACCTAACATTCTATCTGTAGCTACCAAGGACATGCTGCTTAGAACTTGGAAAGGAAATTTTATCCCTTGCCTGCCTAACATTCTATCTGTAGCTACCAAGGACATGCTGCTTAGAACTTGGAAGGTGCCCCTGGGATAAAAGCAGAACTGATTTTCAGCAATGAAGTTGCCTCTGTATTCCAATTGCCTTCAGCTATCCACCCCTTTGTGAATTGCAGTGGTACACACACAGGCAGCCTGGGGAAGTGTGTTGTCCTGGGATCCATTTCCAGCTCTGTGTCCTCAGGCTTGATGCTCACGCTTTCTGAGCTCCCTCATTAAGGCTCTGTGATATAAGATTGATATACCAATATAAATGTATCCAGTGCCATGTTCCAGATACTATTCTAAGCAGTATCACAACACTTTCTTCATTCCATGGCAGTGGCAAGAATGAGGTAGCCAGTCTCATCACTCCCACTTTTCAGATGAGGAGACCAAGGGGCAAAGTCTGGTATAAGGGGAGGTGGAGCTGAGCTCATTCTGACTCAGGGATAGAGCTGTAATGTTCTCTCCACCACTCTGCGTCAGTGTCCAGTGTAAGGGACAGTGCCCAGCACAGCCCACTCCATCCTTTGCAGCCCAGGCTTCTTCAGCTCTTGACTGAAGCTAACCCTAACCCTGAACTTGACCTTTTCCAGCCTCCTAGAATAGGAAGGAGCCTAGTACCCCATCTGATGTCCTCACCCCACTTCACCCCTTCCCAGTGGAGAGGTCCTGCCACAACTTGACCCCTGCCCCATCCAAGGCCTTTAGGAGGCTGCCTACATACTAGGTGCCCAAGCACCAAGCCATCCTTGGCTTTCAGGAACATGGGATCAACCAAGATCGCTGAAGCAGCTGTGCCATGACCTCTGTGGCTTGGGATTGACCTGTCTGGAGTACTGAGGCATGAAGAAGGCACACATACAGAAAACGTGGGATGGGTTGAACCCTGGACTCTGATGTAATTGCACCATCAGCTCAGAAACCAAGGAGGCAGATTAGCTCATCTTGGTAGGTGTCTCTGTAGGGGAATCCGTCAGTCTCAAGCTATATAGTCATCCAGTGGAGGAAGCCATGGTCAATCATTTCTGTACATTTCTGTGCTTTTTAGCTAAAGGTTAACCATGCATCAACATCTGTCAGATTAGGGGAGGCCTTGCCATTCTCCCGAGCCAGACCTGGGGAAAGCCTCTCTGTCTGCATGAGTCTGAAACATTTTTATCCTTGACATGTCTGTTCTCACTTCATGAACACTGTTAGGGAGGACATGGTGAAACCACCAATCTGACCTGCTCTGTGAGTGAAAAATAAAAATTTATTCAAACTTCCATGGCTATCTCTGCGGTGCAGGCAGAAAGAAACTTGGCAGGGTGGCTTTGGGATGTACCACAGGGACATAGAGAGATAGAGAGATGGGTGGAGCTTGAAGATCAGCATTGGCCTTGTATGACAGGTGTCTGTCATGTCAATAGAGAGCTATAGGTCCCCTTTGCCAGAGGCAAGGGGGATAATGGAAGTGGCTCCTTTTGGCAGACAGAAACCCTTTTCACAGGTTCCTAAAGAATGCTGTGTGAGAGTGCCAATCTATCCACCTACTATCCTTTTGTTTATCCTCTAACTAGAGCCCCTACTGTCATCTTGGACCTAGTCAGTGGGCCTGCCCTTTTGTGGGGGAGAGTTTGAGTGAGTGTTCCTTTTGGACCTGACAAATATACATTCACATATGTGGTCTCACTCATTAGCCGTGGTATTTTGTTATTTGTTTTTGTGATGCAGGGATTCAACCAGGTCCTTGCACATGCTAGGAAAGTGTTATACCAACTGAGCTACACCCCCACAGCTTTTCATTCATTCATTCATTCATTCATTCATTCATTCATTCATTCAAGACAGGGTTTCTCTGTGTAACAGTCCTAGTTGTCCTGGAATTTGCTTTGTAGACCAGGCTGGCCTTGAACTCACAGAGATCTGCCTGCCTCTGCCTCCCGAGTGCTGGGATTAAAGGCATGCACCACCAACGCCTGGCCCCAGCTTTCTTTATACTTCTTAAGATACAGTCTCACTAAGTTTCCCAGGCTGACCTTGAACTCACTAACCAAGCAGGCTTTGAACTTTTGGTCCTGCCTCAGATTCCTGAGTATTCGTGGGTACAGACATGCACTTCCAAACCCATTCTCCATAATTTTGTGTGTGTAGTCTGTGTGTGCTTGTTTGTGTGTGCACATGTGTGTACAGGTGTGCATGTGTGTGGAGGCCAAGGTCAATCATTATAAGGTGTCTGTCGATTTCTGGCCTTTTTTTGTTGTTGTTGTGTTTGGTTTTTCGAGACAGGGTTTCCCTGTGGCTTTGGAGGCTGTCCTGGAACTAGCTCTTATAGACCAGGCTGGTCTTGAACTCACAGAGATCTGTCTGCCTCTGCCTCCCGAGTGCTGGGATTAAAGGCGTGCACCACCACCACCCGGCTCTGGCCTTATTTTTGAAACTGGGTCATATTGAACTTGAAGCACATCCTTTTGGAAAGGATGGCTGGCCAGCCAATGGATTTCAGGGATCCATTTGTCTCTACCTGGCCCCCAGCATGAGGTTTATAGATATGTGTCTATCCATCCAGTTTTTACGTGGGTTCTGGGGATCTGAACTCGGGTGCTATGCTTGTGTATTCGGCCCTTTACTGACTGAGCTGTTTTCCCAGTCCCATCTGTCATTTTTAATCCTAAAGACAGATAATACTCATGGGCCCCAAAATGTATTTGAGACCCCCAGATGAGAGAGGCTGCTAGCCCTTTCTCAGACCCACAGGCAGTGGCACCTTCCAGGGGCATCTAGGGCTTGCCAGAACTGGGTTCTGGGAGGGCTTTCTGTCCAAAGCTCTTCAACCCCAGGTTTTTAGGAGGGGCAGTGAGTAGGCCCAACTCACAGCATGCAGTAAGTCAGCCTGTGGTAGCCAGGAGTGCTGTGGGATAACCTGGGACCCCTGGCTCTGCCCAAGAATACTAGCACTATAGGCCACCGAGACCAGCTCCGTTCTCTCTTTTGTAAGACAGGGCTTCATGTAGCCTAGGCTAGGCTGGCCTCAAACTCACTATGTAGGCCAGGATAGCCTTGGACTTCCTGGGCTTACAGATGTGCCCTCTTGCTTTTTTCGTTTTATTAGTATGTAATGTGATGCTACTGCTTTTATGATGTAAAGGAATTGTCCTGGATCTTCCCATATCACTACATCTGCCAATCATCTGGGACACTGGTTCTGAATGAGATGGAAGCATGCACATACTCACCCGTCCCCTGCCAGAGACATTTCTGGTTGTCACTGTGGCAGGAGCAGGGCTGCCACTAGCAGCATGTAAATAAAGGTTAGGCAGGCTGTTCAATCGCCTCCTCCCCTTTCCTCTACACAGCAAAGATACAATGGGTGGGCCTTGGCCTCAAATGCCTACAGAACTCTGGTGGAGAAACCCTGGTCTAAAGAGGCTCTTACAAATCAGAAACAAGGCACTCAAGAAGGGGAGTGACTCGCTGAAAGACACAAGCAGGTGATCTTGTGTCAACCCTCAGGTTCAGGGCTCCTTCCTGGCAGCTTCCTCTTTCTACTTCTGGGAATCTAAGAGAGGTTACTCATAATTGATCTTTTGCCTTTGTCAGTTACTACAAAGGCAGAAAGAGGTAGTTTGTGTTCAGGGAGTGGTGTCAGCTGGAGCCTGCCCCATGGCTTTGCTGGGGCCACAGGGTGCTGCTGGGGCTCTGCCACTTGGCAGGTCCCTGCAGAGCTCAGCAAGGTAGGAGAAGCAACTTCACTCTTCTGTTAATCCAGGATAGCAATGTGAGCCAGGGGCAGAGTGACCCGTGAGCCTGGCAAGAGACAAGAGGGAAGGGAGGAGACTGGGGCCATTCCTGATGATGACAGGAAGACTCTTGGCCCTCTGGGAGGACAAGAATTCTCTCCAGTCCGCTACTTACAGGCACCTCTGCTGGTAGCCAGCAGTGAATGGACAAATACAGAAGCTGTAGAAGGTTGAGTGTGAAAGAGAGACAAATCAACAGGCCCCCAGAAGCCTCCACGGTCCAGGCAGTCTTACCAAACTGATCAGCAAAGTGGAACCCGGGGGAGGGTTGCCAAGGGCCCACTCCAGGCACTTGGATCTTGTCTATCTGTAGTGGGTCCCAGTGCTTGGAATCAGAATCATCTGGGAAATGCTGGGGCATAGGACCAAGGAGCACGGGGACAGGTAGTCAGCAGCACCTGGTCTTCTGACTCAGGACATGGGCCTCTTTCTGCATCTGAGCACCAGCCAAGCCCCCACCTCAAGCCCAGAGATGCCCTTTGATGTCCCCAGGAGAAACAGGTGGTAGAACAGTGCTAGCCAGGCAGTAGGCTCTTTCCTATGATGCAGGTTAAGGTGCTGGTTGTATACAGAGAAAACTGAAGGCAGGCAGAGCTGCCTTGAAGTCCCAGCTAGGGACAGACACCCTATTTTGTTTCCAGATGCCTCTTTCCAGCCAAGTTAAAGAATGTGGATGTGTTGTGTGCCAGGGTGTAGGAGAGAGGCCCAGGGGAGACTTAGAAGTCCATGTAGGACATGAGGCTGAGCACTCTAAGGGCTGCCCATCCTCCCACTGGGCTGCTAGATGCCTGGATCAAGCTTGCTCATCCAGTTGTATACAAGCAGGTGCTCTCAAGTCAGACTCTGCTCCACTATGTGGGGATCCCAGTATTCTGAGGGTGCTTAGCAAACCACTCCCAAGATGGCCCAAACACTGGTAGCATTTGTTGTGCTTGTGTGTCTGTGGTCTAACATGACTAGGTAGTAGGGGCAGTGTGGCAGGGCCAGCAAAGCAGGAGTTTATGTGTAAGTTTACATGCCTGTTGTGCTGGTGTCCTACCCTGTCCGGGAGACAACAGCTGGGTCCTGCCCGGCTTATTTGTCCATGCTTAAAGAATGTGGATTAAGAAATGTCAGGTTAGAAAACTAAAGATACTAAAGAAAAGACAGAGACACAAGATAGAGTCTACCTGGTGAATAACAGGAATTACCCCAAGTTTATCCAAAGCTCTTTTATACTCCAATCAAAAGAGGGGGAGGCAAAAGACTTCCTTACTAAGAGAAAAAGAACAAACAAGTGTAATTACCTTCTCAATACCCCAAAACATCAGACATCAATTAGTTACTCCTTAGGCCAAATATCCTGTTTTTTAGCCTTGAAAGAGTAATAATGGGTTTGTACTCTTTGACCTTAAGTCAAGATGAAGCAGACATACTTGATTTTCTCAATTTATCTATATGTATGACCCTTCTCCAGGGTTTCCCCTCCAGGGGGATTCCATTCATCCTTGTTTGCTTAGGGTCCCATGTATCTCAGGCTAGCTTTGATCTCGCTATGAACTGATCCTCTTGCCTCCAGTCCCCAAATTCTGGGATTACAGGATAGAACCTAGGTCCTTCCATGCTAGGCAAGCACTCTACCAGTGACTCACACCCAAGCCCTAATTATTTTTTTTTAAAGGACTATGAAGGAATGAGCAAACATTTAAAACAATCAGAGACACTTAGGGAAAATGATTTCACTCCTCTGTGTTTCCTGTTTTCATTGTGGAATTCTGTTAAGCCAGGGCCCCCCTGTTAGATTTGTGCTTAAATTAAAGGCACGTTCTATGGAACATGAACCATGGAGAGCATAAAGAGTATATTAATCATAGAATTTATTATGATGAGAGAGTGAGAAATGGAAGAACAGAGTAGGGCAGAGAGAGAGAGAGAGAGAGAGAGAGAGAGAGAGAGAGAGGGAGAGAGAGAGAGAGAGGTACAGAAAAGTGTAAGAGAAGTAAGAGAAGAGGAAGAGGAGAGAGCGTAAGTGGGCAGGGGTCTGTCTTTTAAAGGGGTCCTTTGCACCTGCATGCAGACTTAGTTCCCATGGAACCCTGACCTGACCAGGGTACTGCCTGAGTGAATTCTGCCAGGTAACAGAGGCAGGTCAGCATAATGCCCGAACCTTTCAATCCCACCTTTACTTATTATTAAAAAAAAAAAAAAGGTGGGGTGTTGGACATGGCAGATTAAGGAATAAGGGCGTCTAATTCTCAAGACTGCTTCCTGCTGATGTGAGGGGCGTTGACCATCTTTGGGGGACCTGAGAAAGTTGGGGTGCTGCACGTCCTGGGGTAGTTGGTTGTTTCATCGCAGTCCAGGCTATATGGAACTCCCTGTCGCCTCTTAGACCTGGCAAGATGTTGGCAGAGCAGAGGACAAGGTTAAGTTTAGAAAACATTTTTTTCTTAGGTTCTGGCACTTGAGGGGAAGATTGTAAGATGAAGGAAGGGTTCCCGAGGGGTTCCAGCATGAGGGAAGGGAGTCCTGGGACCAGGGAAAGATTGAATTGAATAATATTTATTTGGAGTGAATATGACCTGTTTGTTTGGATCCAATTCAGCTCCCTGGAACTTACAAGAATCCTTAAAGTTTGTGGAAACATAAGTATTAGACACATTAGCAGCATATTCATATTAGAAGCAACTTGGCTGAAAGCATTAACATTTTAAAATTGACAGATATTTTTTAGTACAATGAAAAGCATCTTAATTGACCTTATAGTTATGATCGTATAGTGGTATTGTAGAACTTTACTATGAACAGTAGCATGAGAAATAGAGAAATCAGGAACATATTTCATTCTTTTTAATGTACCAACTCACTTTATTATCACTTAAGCCTTTTTATCCTCAGACCTTCATAACTTTAATTCATACACCTTACACCCCTCCTCTTAACCCGGCTAGGTTTTTGTAGCTGCCGGACAGAGCCGGCAACTTAAAAGCTTTAAGACAATATGAATTTATTATCTTAATGATCTTCATTTCAGAAGTCCTACCTGGGCCTTATGGCACTGAAGTTAAGGAGTCTGCAAGGCTGACTTCTTAGGCTCTTTTACCAGCTTCTGGAGATGGCTTGAACACCTTGGCCTTGGTCCTTCCTCCCTATTCAAAACTACCAACAGCCCACAAATTTCCCTCATAAAAAAAATCCCTGGCCTTCAAAAATAAGGATCCTTGATGATGGGGATGGATTTTGGAACTCTCATTCTTTCTGTCCAGTGTTAGGGATTGGATCTAATAATTGTCCCGCTGAGTCACAATTCCAACCAAAAATAGGGATATTTTAAGATCATTTTCTGGCTAAGCACTTAAGTCCCACAAGCACTTAGGAACCTTCTCTTTAGTATGTGTTCACACATTGCCCTCAGAAGGGTGCAGACACCTTTGGGAGGTCATTTCTTGCCCTGCCACAGCAGAGTTGCTGAGATTAAAGGACATAGTCTATGTGTTGTGTGTCCATGCATGCCCTTCCTTCCCAAGAGCCACAGGAGCAGTCCAGGCTAGGGCTCCTCACACAGACTTAGGCTGCCTTGAGAAGGGCCCTGGACCTCAATTCCTTCCAGTGAGGGAAGGTGATTGGCTCAAGGTCACATAGAAACTCCAGGAGTGGCTACTCCCCACCTAGCTCCATGACTATGGGGAAGGGGGGCACCCCACCTGGAGCACCCAAAGGTGGACATGTGTGGGGTCATCTGTTTTCCTGGACAGATCCTGCAGCTTCTGAAAGGCAAGCTGGTGGTGGGCCATGACCTGAGGCATGACTTCAATGCATTGAAGGAGGACATGAGCAACTACACCATCTATGACACATCCACAGACAGACTGCTATGGCATGAGGCCAAGGTGGACCATTGCAAGCGTGTGTCCCTGCGAGTGCTGAGCGAGCGCCTGCTACACAAGAGCATCCAGGTGAGGAACCTCCCTCCTCCATTACCCTTCTGTCTCTCTTCCCCCTCCTTCCTCTGACTCCCTCCTCTTCCTAAAATGAAGAGTAACCTGCTCTTCCTCTTACCCCTTCCTCCAAGCAAGGAGTCCCGCCCCTCCCCTCCACCCCCTCTCTCTCTCTCTCTCTCTCTCTCTCTCTCTCTCTCTCTCTCTCTCTTTCTCTCTCTCTCTCTCTGGTTTTTCAAGACAGGGTTTCTCTGTGTAGCTTTGGAGCCTATCCTGGCACTCGCTCTAGAGACCAGGCTGGCCTTGAACTCACAGAGATCTGCCTGCCTCTGCCTCCTGAGTGCTGGGATTAAAGGCGTGCGCCACCAATGCCCAGCTTCTCTCTCCTTCTTCTTTTTTTTATTATTTTATTTTATTAGTTCAAATTAGGAACAAGCTTGCTTCAGGTGTCAATCCCTTCTCCCTCTCCCTCCCCTCCCTGCACTATCCCACCTGCCCCTAGCCATCCCCCCTCCACTCCCCAGGCAGGGTAAGGCCCTTTCTCTCTCCTCCTTAAAGTGAGGATCATCCTCCTCTTCTTCCACCCCACCTCTACCCCAGGCAGGTTAATCCCACCCTGTTACAATAAAGTGCCTGCAGGACCTTGGCGGATTCCATGGCAGACGAGGGACAAATATGCCAGGCAGACAGAGAAGTTTTATTAGAAAGGGCGGGGGTGGGAAGAGGGGGTGGGATAAAAGAGACAAAGAGACACAGAGACAGGACAGAAGAGAAGAGGGAGTGGGGGTGGAAGGGTGGGCAGGAAAAGTCCTGTCTGCCCTCCACCACCACTTCAGGAGCTCCAATGCAGACCCCAAGATTCTTCCCTCCACTCCTGAGAGGCTGCATGGTGTGTGTGTGTGTGTGTGTGTGTGTGTGTGTGTGTGTGTGTGTTATGTGTCTTCAGCTTCAGGAGACCAGAGGAAGGGAATTCGGAAAGCTTCTTTGTGAAGTGATCCCAGGAGCATTGGGAGGGAAGGAGGGGGAAAGCTTGGCTTAAATCCTGTGTACTATGAGCCTTATGCCACTGCAGCCCCAGGGAAATGGTGGAAAGCCTGCACTTCCGATGTGCCATAGTGGACATGAAAGCTGGGGTTCCTACACAACAGTTCCTGCCATGGATAATCAATGCTGCTCCAAGGTACTACCTCCTCAGTATGTGGGGGTAGGACTCACTGCTGTAATTTCACAAAAAAGCAGTGCTCGAGAGAGAAAGATGCCATTCGACAGAGTTCAAGTGGAGGGTTTTTGTTTTTTTTTAAATTAGGGAAAGGGATCATAAAATGGGGAAAGGGGCAGGGGACAGGAACAGTGGAAGAGAGGAGAGGGAGAGAGGGGGAGATGGGGAGACGGAGAGGGACAGGGAGAGAGAGAGAGAGACGAGGTAACAAGGCCCTTTTAAAAGGGAACATAGTGAATGTGCACAGGTGGTGCTCTTAGTCACTGCAACTGAGGGGATAGGCTATCATAACCCCAAGGACAGACAGACCAGTACAGATGCCTGAACACTAACACCCTCATCCAATCGGGAAGAACTGAGGCTAGGGGCACATCTTAACAGCCAAACACTGCACAAGGGCCCTCCTGATCAACAGTTTTGTTCTGTTTTGTTTTTTGAGACAAGGTTTTTCTGTGTAGTCCTGGAACTCACTCTGTAGACCAGGCTGGCCTCAGACTCAGAGATCTGCCTGCCTCTGCCCTGAGAGTGCTGAATTAATGGTGTGCAACACCACTGCTCAGCTGGGTATTTTTTTTTTTTAATTTTCAGCACTGGGGATCCAACCCAGGGCCTTAAACATAATGTGCTGAGCAAGCACTCTACTGTAGCCATTGTTCAGAAGTAAAGTGCAGCTAAATTTTCAGTAAAGATACGGTTGGGTAAAGAAATGAAATCCATTTTCAGATATTCAAATGTACCACCTCTTTAAAGAATAAAAAATAAAGTTCACGTTTTGATGCAGGAAAGGGAAGAGGAATTAGTGGTGTTTTAAATCTGTTTTATTTTAAAAAATTACCCATTTAAAAACCATCTAACCTGGGCAGTAGTGGAACATGTCTTTAATCCCAGCATTCAGGAGGCAGAGGCAGGCAGATCTCTGTGAATTCAAGGGCAGCCTGGACTCCAGAGCCAGTTCCAGAGCAGCCAGGACTATTACACAGAATGCTTTCCTAGCATGCACAAAGCCCATGTTCAGTCCCCAGCACCACGTAAAGTTAGCATGGCACATGCCTGCAGTATTAGCATTTGGAAGATAGAACAGGAAAGTCAGAAGTTTAAGGTCATCCTCAGGCCACATAGTAAGTTAGAGGCTAATTGGAATATAGGAGCAGGGGAGGGCAGTGTCCCAGGCATGGGGAGAGCATCCCAGGCTAGGAGAGCAAATTCCAGCACTGTTTGCAGGGCCAGAGTCCCAGAGGTTGGGAGAGAGAGATGGTTGGAGAGGGTACATGAGTGAGGGCTGGTAGTGTGCAGATGACTTGGCTGGGTGAGTGGCTAATGGTATGGAACCCCACCCCACACCCCTGGGAATTGTTTTTGAAGCAGGGGTGGGCCTGAATCTGGCTGGCCTCTGTTAGTCTCCTGACCCATGATAATAGTCCTGGGTTTTCTTATACCCTGGGGTGTGCTGTGATGAGTGTGCCTGATGAGTTAGGAACCTGACAAGGATATCTGCACACCTGTTGTTTGCTAAGGTCTGTGGCTCTCAACTCAGGCCTTGTCCTGGGGGCGTTGAGCCTGGTTTATAGGACCCTTAGGCTCTGTTCCTCCACTGTGGTTATTACAGGGACTCTGTCCACCCTCTTCACCAGCTCACGCCTGCACTGATGTCCTCAGAACCTGGCCTCTGGCTCCTGCCCGAGGGCAATGACCTTGTGGATCACCTCAACAGGAGCTGACCCAGGGTTGTAACAGAGTTGTCACTGTCAGAAGTGCTGATCCCTCACCTCAAGGGTACAGACCCCACATGGAAGGAAGGAAAATCCCTAGTGTACTTAGCCCTTGGGCATGCTGGGAACTGATAATACTTTCATTACCTGCAAGGCAGGTGTGCCCAGGTCATTTTACAGAAGAGGAAAGAGGCACAAGATTAAAAAGACTTTCCCCGAGGCCCTGTGAGGTCCTAGGAGGGAACTAGAATCGGGACCAAGGCCAGAGTTGTCTGCTGCTCTAGGCTGACCAGTAGAGGGTGCTCCAGCCACCTGCTGCTTCTGCCTCAGATAGCAAAACAGCAGAGTTCGGAGATCTGGCCTCAGATAACTCACATGTCAAGAGGGGTGATAGGGCAAGTCTTTGGATGCATGGAGGGCAGTAGCACTTGGGATGTAAGAGACACCGTGGCCACCTGCTTATTAATAACACAGAATGGGATGCTGCATCCTGTCTGAGCTGGGCCTCCTCATAGGTGTCTGTAACACACCCAGTCTAGAGAGTAGAAATGGAGCCCTCAAAAAGGCAGGACACCCACACAGAGGGACATAAGGGAAACAGACCTGAGCTCCCCCTTCCATCCAGCCTTACAGACAAGACTTCAGGCCAGGTGGAGGTGAAAGATGCTGCAGGGAGTTGGCTTGGCTCTTGGATATTAGCCCCCACTCCATAGTGTTTGTCATGCTGAGCCTCAGTTTCACCTCCAGTGAAACTGGAGATAATTATATCTAGCTCCGGGAGTTTAGGGAGGTTCCATAGACCAAGTGATTAGCACAGAGCCAGCAGGTGGCAGTCGTTTCTTCCTGGACAGAAAGTCCAGAACCCAGTTCTACTCCAGCTCTGCCCCACTTTTCAAAGAGTTTCTGGTTTATTGGCTCACCCTTCTCATGTTTCCCAAGTACTGGCAGCCTCTCAGGGGACCAGGGATGCAGAGTACCAGGCACCGACATCCTCCCATCCTAACCTCATATAGGAAGTGATGGAGTTTGCTGGTCTCCACTTGCTGATACCCTTTCTTTCTGAGCAGTCTTGCTTTCCTGTCCTTCACTAGAGTCCCCTGTACCCTCCACCTGTGTGCTGCCCTATCTAGCTCCAACCACTTGTTGATGCCCTCTCAAACCTGAGTCAGGGACCTCAGGGACACTCTTACCTACTGACCCACTCCAGTCTTGGGGAGGCCAGGGTGACTCCAAATGCAGCTCCCTTATCTCCCATACACTCTCTCTCTCTCTATGTCTGCAGAACAACTGGCGGGGCCACAGCTCTGTGGAAGATGCCAGGGCCACAATGGAGCTCTACAAAATCTCTCAGAGACTCAGAGCCAGAGCCCAGCAAGGCCTGTCCCGGCTGGGGGCATCATACTGAAGGTCATCCTTGTCCAGGGACCAGAGGCTTCCACTCCTCAAGGACAGTAGTTTTCCACAGATGAGACCCATTTCTAGCAACAACAGAAGCAAAAGCAGAGGCAGACACTCCCCCATGACAGCATTTCTTTTGCTTAGGGGAAAAAAAGACTTTAGTAATAAATGATTGTATTTTGTCTAATCAACCACTGGAACTTGTCTTTTGTCTTCCTTGGTGACAGAGAATGAAGATTGCCCAGGAAGTTAGGCAGGTGACTCTCCCTCCCCCTTTCTTCCCCCCTTGCCCTTTTCCCTTTTCTCTTTCCCTCCTCCCCCTCTTCCCCCAGGTCTATTTAGGACATTGCAAAGAGAGCACTGGGCATCAGTGAGAGGAAGACTTGCTTTTTCATTCTTCTTTAGCCCAGGCCCACCTTGCACTCATGATTGCCCCGGCTCAGCCTCCTGAGTGCTAGCCTTATAGGTGTGTAGTGCCATAGCCAGCTTAGATACCAGAGACCTTTACTGCCATTTGCTGTCTTATACTTCTGGAGATTGACCCTAGGGTTTTATGTATGCTAGGCAAATGCTCTACCATTGAGTCATAGCCCCAGCCTTCTCTCTTCCTCACTCACACCCCCAACCTTTTGTCATTGATTACTTTTATTATTTTAATTTTAAACTTTATTATAAAAAGTTGCAAAAATAATCACATGCTAAAATTAATCAGATTCCAAGACCATACAACTCAGTGACCATCTGTACCATTAGAGCAGCCATTTGGAATGAAAGCTGTGGAGTATCGCATTAGATTTTCATACAATATATTTTTATGCACCATCTACCACCAAAACCAAAATATTCATGACAGAGTTGGAACTGGAAAAACAATAAGCTTTATTTTTTTTCCTTCACAGCATTCTGTCGTATCTCCCCTTCTCTTCCCTTTCTGTCTCTTTCCTCCCATCCTGTTTTCTTTTTCTTTCTCCCCTCCCTCCGTCTCTCCCTCCCTTCCTCCTGTCATGTGCATGTGTGCCATGGCCCATGAGTGGAAGTCAGAGCACAACCCTTGGTAATTGGTTCTCTCCTCCTACCACCTTGTCCCAAAGATCAAGCTCAGGTCATGAAGCTTAGTGACAAGTGCCTTTACCTGCTGACCCGTCTTTCCCACCCTGTCTCCCTTCCTCCGCTCTTCCCTCCCTTTTTTCAATACTGAGGAGTGAACCCAGGCCTTGTACGTGCCAGTAAGTATTCTATCACAGGGCTACACCCCCACTACCCCCAGATCTATTTGATACATTGCAAAGAGAGCGATGTGCTTTGGAAAGGGTCCTCACTAAGTTGCCCAGGTTGGCCTTGAACCTGCAATCCCCATGCCTCATTCTTGCTACTAGTGGGATTATAGGCCTATTTCTTAGTATCTTGTATCCTGTGCATCCAAGGAAACCTCTTTGGAATCTGAGTAGCAAGTGTCTTAAGGCCCCTCTGTTCCTGTTGAATTTACACAGAGGGGCATCTTTTCCTAGGCTTCCTGCTTAGGGGTCAACACACCCCATCTTGAGACCGGTGCTTTGACGAAGAGGCACTGGAAGGGGAGTGGAGCCACTGCCCTCCCTTTATAAAATGAGAAAGTCCAGAGTCTGTGGGAACTAGGTCAGCCGGCCAGATTTGCCCTTTAGTGGCTGTGTGGCCAACAGTAAGCTACCTGACTTTCCTGTGCCACAGTTTCATCTGTGAAACAGGAAGTTCTATTGACACATTGTATATTTATGAGCTGCAAATATACATTGTGCCCATCTTCTCAATAGGCAGAGTGTCCGTAACTGTCATCATTTCTTGGGTTATTACCAGAATCTCCATCCCAACTCCCATCTCTCATCCTTGTGATTTTTCATTGAAAGAATTTGGATGTGAGCCACAGAGCACGGTGTAGAAAACAGAATTTATTGCAAAGCAAGCAGTATCAAGGGGGAAAGCAGACAATGGCCAAAGAGACCAGTGCCTGGACCTTCACACCAGGCAGCCTTTATATATGTCTGTAAATCCCAGCATTCCTTAGAGGCCTTTGTTCTGTTCCATGGTGGTCGATTTCTTTGGACTGGATCTCCCTGACTTCCAGGAGAAGGCTTAGTATGTCTTGGAATGGTGTGTTTTTATTCTTTACTAGAAGGCTTCCCTTTTTCATGAACTTCTAGATGCCATAGAACCCATTTCAATTAGTTACTTCAGGCTGTCCAGGGGGTCATGTTAGCCTAGAAGGTCACTTTTCTTTCATCAGCAAGAAAAATGACTCAGGTCCCAACCTTATGATCATCACTACCCAGAAGTCCCCATCCTCTGTTTTCTAGATTGCAGACTATGAGGGAGGGTCCAGCCCCTAAGTTCTCCAAGCCTACTAATGTCTAACTATCTAGCAGGGGCTTTAACCCAGACCAGCACACTGGGGAGCTGCTGGGGTCAGTTAGTACCCGATGCATACTGAGTGTGAGCACACTGTATTCAGGTGCTGGGGCTCCTCAGAAAGCACCTCCTTGTTTAAAATGCAGAAGATCAGGGTCCTATACAGAACTTGAGAAACCAAAGACACCTCAACCATATTACAAGAGCCAGGTCCCAGTTTAGTGGATCTGCCGTGGGACACCAGCAGAGACGGGAACAGCAATCTGTGTTTGATGCTGATGGGCAGAGACCTTCTTGTGACACATTCAACTTGTCTCCAGTGCAACTGGACCCTACTGGGGTTGAGGTGGGGCACCTGCTTTGAGAAGTGCTGCTTGCGTGACAGGTTATGCAGCCACAGTTGACATCTGGCCCAGGGAAGGGAGGACTTGGTCACCCACTCAGCCTCTTGTCACCAGACTGCTCAGGAAGATAGAGGTCTGAGGTCCTACAACTTGGGTCCTAGGTAACCCTGCTTCACAGACGAGAGGCTCACAGTAAGAGGGCTGAGGATTTAGCTAATTTGTTAAGAGTAACCACAAAGTCCCGGGTTTGATCCCCGGCACCACAGAAACCAGGCATGGTGCTGTACACATGGAATTTCAGCACTGGGGAGGCTGAGGTGGGAAGATCAGAAGTTCAAGGTCATCACTGGCTTCACAACAAATGTGAGACTAGCTTAGCCTACTTAAGACCCTGTCTCAATACAGCACAAAACAAGATACAAAAGGTAAGGTTGGGATCTGAGGGATTGGGGTCTGGTCCTACCTCAAACCTGAGGTGTTTTTACAATGGCAATGCCTGCCGTCTGTGCTACTTCGGGAACTTGGGGAGTCCCTCTCAGGAGGGGAAAGTGCAGTTCTCATTCTCTGTGTGCTCCCTCATGCCTCACACCCACCCTGTCCCGGCCCCTTGCCCAAGAGCTTGCTGGTCTATTTTATGTGAACCTCCAAAACCAGTGGGTGCATTTACCCTAGCTGGCTGCCACTAGCCACTAGGTGGCAGTCATGCACCATCAGCCTAACAAGCTGCCTTTAAAAAGCTTGGGTGCTGGTCAGGGATGGCTAGTCTTGGTTTCAGAAAGGGGCTGAGACGTGGCTCAGGTCCAAGGAGGCTCCAGGCTCTCTAACTTGCAGCCCACCTTTCTTTCTTGGCTTTCAATTCTTTTGAAAGGCAGGACAAACCTAGATTCTTAAAGGAACTCTAACTGAAATTCCGGCTTCAGGCTGGCATGCTTGGATGCCCCAGAGCCTAGCTGTTGTTACCCAGGAGTACAAAGCCTATGGAAAGATCCTGCATCTTTCAAGGCACTGACTCCTTGCTCCCAGCTGTCCTGGAGGGGGACCCTTGGGACAAGACCGGGAAAAGAGAAGAAGTCAATGTTAGCATCTACTCTGAGGGCCCAGATGGGAATACCCCAGGAGCAGGTCCACCCATGGAGAACGGGGATGCTCACCCTGCTGGAGTGAACAATAGCCATTTATCCCTGGCAGATTGTGGCTACAAAGGAAGATTGGCCAGTGGGTATAACCTCAGGGCTGCCTCTGGCCTGTAAAGCTCTAGTCTGACATCTAAGCTGCCTGCTGCCTCCTGGCTGGCACTGGGCTCCATTCACCTGGAGCTGTGTATCCAAGGTCAGGGGAGTCTGAGGACCTTAATCACTAGGATCCCAGGTTATTATGTACAGCAGGGCTGGACCCTTACAGCATAACTCAGAACCTAGTGACTTGTCTCATCTCCAGACAGTTTTCTGTCTCATTCTTCTGCTTCAAGTCCTTGACTTTCTAGATTCTTTCTCATGTTTCTTTAATGCTTTTACTCTGACCCCTGGCCAGTCCAACCTCTCTACCCTTCTCAGACCTCATGCATAGTAGGGTCTTTAACCAGTGAGGGAAAGTTGGGCTTTTTAGTAGATTCTTTCTCATGTTTCTTTAATGCTTTTACTCTGACCCCTGGCCAGCCCAACATCCTATACCCTTCTCAGACCTCATGCATAGTAGGTCTTTAACCAGTGAGGGAAAGTTGGGCTTTTTATACCCATCCCAGCCAGGAAAAAGAAGTGTCATCTATCTGTCTATCTATCTATCTATCTATCTATCTATCTATCTACCTATGGCTGCTGGAGGGTTATTTGGCATTGAAAGTGACTCACCCTTTGCCAC